ATGAACCATTAGGTAGTTAGGATGAGAGCACAATATTTTTCCTCTCATCTTCGCAAAACTGGGGAACAATGTGGAGGAGTTGTGTGGAGGAGGAGGAGCGTTCCTCAATTCAAGCTCGGCCTATGAATGCAGAGACTGAAGCACCTCCCACTACTGGATGCTCTTCGCAGCTCAAAGAGAACGGGCGTGTCAGGTAAGTACCAACACCCCATTCATGATTTGCTCCCAACAACTTGCTGTATGCAGCTTTCCTTTTTAAACACTGTGTTCCCAGCTGCAGCTAATGAAGGGAATCAGGGCCCTTTCCTCCCCCGTAAGCCACGTAACTCATGTTGCTCCCTTCTCCATTCCTCCCTGCATGCCCTAGGATGAAGAGGGGGCGGCCGTGGGTCTCCCTCTGAATTCTTCTGCCTTGCTCTATCTCTCCCCTGCTCTGCCCAGCCGGACTTTGCCTTTCCCCAGTTTCCCCCATAGCCAACAGAGCCACACTCCCACTCCCTGTCAGCTGCTTGGCCTCCCCCCTCCGAATCAGATTCTGATGGGCATGGCAGGATTGGATAAATTAGTGATCAATCAAGATTTTATCAAGAATGTTTCCAAATACCAGTTTCAAGGACATGGGACTCCCCTGTATGATGACGGGGCCACCATAAATGACCACTGTGAGGGAAGAGAATGCTTCTCTGAGATGGGTTTAAGCTTGACCCAACAGGGTTGTTCTCATGCTTTATCGTAGGTCAGAGAAATAATTAATGGTACTTGATGGACATCCTTCCATAATTCTGGATGTTTCTTCTAGTGTCGTTCTGCTTTGTTTCAATTTCATTAATATGATAGGGCAGAACATGTTGCTACATTTCATGATTTTTGACTGTTAAGAATGTTAAATCATTTCCCCCAAATAGGATCCTCCGCTGTCAGATAATCTAATACAATTCCTTGATCCTCTATTTTCATAAAGTAACTACGATGACATACAATAGAGAATGAACTCTATCATATGACTATTTCGTTGAACAAATGAAACAGCAAAATGTTTTAGAGATTTGTACTCCTCCAGCTTTCCATTCTTTCAGAATACTCCAATCCATTACTGACTTCCAGTTTTTCCCATATCTGTCAGTCTACATGCCTTGTCTATTGAGTGCATTTAGTCCCCAACAACTGTGGTGGTATGTTACTGGTTTGGACTGGTTCGGCTGAACCGGTAGTAATAAAAAAAGCCTCCAATCAGGTGAGAGGAGGAAAAAAAGCCTCCATCAATCAGCTGAGAGGATAAAAGACCGGAAAGCGCATGGGAGGGTGGGGTGTCACTCCTAGCTTTTGTTTCTTCATCCTCTCAGCTGATGGGCTTGTTAGGGGTGTGTGTGTTAGGGGCGCACTCATGCACGATCACCCACCAAAGCAGTAGCGACTAAGGTAGGATCCCACTACTGACCAACAAGCTGTTTTTCTGGGATTGTAAAGCTATTTCATGCTTCCCCAAATACATAGGTGTGTTTCAACATGATTAGAAACAGAAAAGGCAGGATTTCAGGTCAAATGAAGAGATCAAAACACATACAATTCTATAAGCGTAGCATTTTGCAGACATCAATTTGAATATCCATAGATTTTCTATAGTGATACCACGTCCTCTGTCCTAAATCTATCCTCGGACTGTAGATAAGCAATAGCAGGTAAATTTGAGTGGGACCTTGTGAAGCACTGCTATTGGCAAAAGAACCACATATTGAGTGAGATTCACAGGGATCCAATGGGACTCTGCTTATCCAACAACGGGACTCTGTGTATCCCACCCCATTACAGACTCATGCTTGTTTCCCAAACACTAATTCTGAAGATCAACAAACCCAACATAAGGACACATGGGAGTGAAAAGCTGAAAAAGAGTTAAAGTTAAGGAAAAAGTTAAAGAATTTGGCAGGAGCCCATTTTACAAATAAAATGGCTTTTCAGTTTATGCAAGACATCATTTTGAGAGCCACTCAGAATTGGTTAGAAGATGATCAGCTATATAAGTCTTTTAAATAAATAAGTAACTATCTTTAGATCCAACAAGCAATCATCTTCATAAAATCTATAATTTTTTTCTTTTTCCAGTACTGTAAATACTTCTTTCAGATTGGCTATGTGAAATTTTAATTCTTATTCACTGGAATTTCCTTCACATTAATCTGACATGGATATTCACAAATACTATCACTTAGCTAAGAATTAATATAATCAAATAATTCCCAGGGCACTAACTAAAATTCTTGGCATAGACTGAGATTTCGATTCAACCACTTGTTGAAATAAAATATGTCTTGTTTTTCTGAAAGAATGGAAAGAGCATGAGCTCATTTTGTTCAGGCAGCCCAAGATATTTTAAAGAAATCCAAATGTACAACATGGTCTATGATTACAGATTAAAAACATCAGGCTGGGAATTTGGTGTTTACAGTCAGTCAAATGAAATGCTTTGTTTTATTTGAGAAGGTTGACTAAATGGTCTTGGTACAAGTATCCACAGTATGAGCAGTTGAAAACCATTCCTTTCCCAATGCTGGAACATCATTTCAAAGATAAATGGTTGGAGTAGGGATAATTATTGTGCAGTATTAAATAAATATAGTACTAGAAATTACAAGAGGCAATGTTTTCAATCTTGTTTCTAGTTCCTTTGCTTTGATGGGTTGAAGGTAGTATTTTAAAAAGTAGAGAAAATGAACATTGTACTGCTAGTCCTTGACTTACAACAGGTCCTTTACTGATCATTCAAAGTTACAACTTTGACTTATGACCCTTTTTCACTTACGACCATTGCAATATCCCCATGGTCACAGGATCAAAAGTCAGTTGCTTGGCATCTGGTTCATATTTATGATGGTTGCAGTGTCCCAAAAGTCATGTGATCACTTTTTGTGACCTTCTGACAAGCAAAATTAATGGGGAAGCTAGATTCGCTTACTAACTTAACAACTGCAGTGATTTGTTTAACAACTGTGGCAAGAAAAGTTGGGCAATGGGACAAAATTCATTTAACAAATGTCTTGCTTAACAGCAGAAATGTTGGCCTCAATTGTGGTCGTAATTCATGTTTTTGATTCAGAAGAAATATTGTTTTTTTGTAATTACACTATTTACTAGTTACTCTACTCTTTCAGGCTATGTGGACCGTTTCAGCACAGCATCACCAATAAGACATATTGAAAAATCATTTGGAGTTGAATTGCCTGTGCCTTTTGAAACACCGGTTGAATCCCACCACTGATGTCATCACACATTTTATACTCATGTCAAAATGTCTGATGCAGATACGTAACTCATGACATTTGCATCATGCCCACATTTGCCCCTCTTTCCGGATATTTTCCTTGTTCCACTCAATATGGACAATTTATAAAGATATAAGATGCCTTGCAAAATTCAGTTTCACATCTGCTCTAAAGAAGTTACCAGCAAAGCTAGCAAAACACCAGCAAATTGCCTCTCACAGCATTACTCAGAAGTATTTTTTTTTATTTTACTTTTTTTTCCCTGAGCATTTGTGGCACTGAGAAATCTGGCTCATAACTACATTGTTGCAATGACTGAGCTATTTCATTCCAAGGGCCATTTCAGGGAAGTGGTGTGTGATGATGTGTAATGATGGGGCTACCATATATGGCCCCTGTGGGGACAAAGAATGCTTCTCTGAGGTGGACTTTGTCCTGATCCAACAGGGCTGTTCTCAAAATAGGTTAGAGAATTAACTACTTGATGGATTTTCCTCCATAATGTTGGATGTTCCTTCTATTGTCATTCTGCTTTGTTCCAATATCATTAATATGGCAGGCCAGGATATGTTGCTGCATTTCATGATTTCAGACCGTGAAATGTTAAACAATTCACAAATGTTGGATATATACAGGTCTCTACTGTCAGATAATCTGATACAAATCCTTAATCCTCTATTTTCGTAACATAATTACAGTGGCAGTAAACGTCCTGACACCTAGTTTAGCCCTTTCAATCATAATTAAACCTACACCTGAATTTTCCTGCATATGTTCATCAATTCTACTTTATAAAATGTTCATTAAGTACAAACTAGGAGCTCTAATCTAGAGACTTTTTTGGAAGCCATGCAAGCCACCATATTCTTCACCACGTTTGTTTCATTAAGGAGGTATATGTGACGTACTACAGATTCCTTTAAAGCTGATGTTTAAAACACACACACACATACACATTAATTTCCCATTGTCCCACACAATTTAAATATTGGTAATGGCATCCCCTTATATGAAAATACTTGGCCGCCAGTTTTTAGAAAATCAGGTTTAAGCTAAGCAGTTGCAATATGCAAAGATAAAACCAATCATTTTTTAGGAGAGGACATACCCCACCTCCCTTTTAAGACCCTTGCCAAGTCAGTCTATGGAACTGTCAATCATTTTGTTTTGCAGAAAAGTCAGTCATAGATGAATGCTCACAGATAAAATAGGTGAACATTAGATCTCATAACTAGCATTAGATTTCACTTGTTTTATTTATATAATTTGTACAGCTGCCCATCTCACACAAGTGATTCTGGGTGATTTACAAGATTAAAACCAACAGCCTTACCAACAATTGTTAATACCCAAAGAAACAATTAATCCCACTTACCACCCGTAGCACTCTTCCTTCCTGTTAGTTTTAAGGGTGGCTGCCTTTGAACTTAGTGTGGTAATTACCCATGAAGATTAACAGGCATTGAAAATCTGATTCTACAGCTAGTTTTCTTTTAACATGAGTGGCCATTGACAAATTTGAAGACATTAAATGCTATAGTTTTAACTACGAAGGACATTCAACTATATTAAATATCTGATACACTTTATATTAACAAAACAATTCTAAGACATCTGATGTTTATCCTGTTTGAAAGGAACTTTTTAAACAATGAAGTACTAAGTGGATTTTCATTGGTAAAACATGCTTTCTAGGTAAACAATGCAATAACAATATGTATTTCCTCTCTGGATTTTCAGGACCATATTTAGAGTTTCGAGATGAAGTTGAGGAATTGCAGAAACACGCAGACAAACTTACTACATTGGGTGTCAACAAAATCATTGCACTTGGTCACTCTGGTTTTAAGGAGGACTGCCGCATTGCTCAGAAAGTTAAAGGTGTAGATGTTGTGGTTGGAGGACATACAAACACATTTCTTTATACAGGTATGTTATTTCCTCACCCCCCCAAAAAATGATTTTTATATAACCTTGCAATTAGAGTACCAAATTTTTTAATTCCTCACACTCTGATCCATGCAAGGAAGTCATCATGCGTTTACATGGTTTTTTGTAAATATCATTTGCTTGTGTAAATTCTGTAGAATATTTTTGGATAACTAATCCTAAGTGAACTAATTGGTTTGAGTCATATAAAAAGAAAAGTTCATCAGATCAGTAACGGTGTCTTTTATACATTCAGCTTGATGTATAGTTTGTTTTTCAGTTTGTTAAGCATCAGAGCTTCAATTCTCAGGAATTTCATTGATTTTAGTTTGCTGAAGGATATCAAAATGCTGGAATTTGGTCAAATATTCCTTACTTCAGTGAACCATTTTTCTCTCTTTACTTATTCATGCCTTATCTTTGTTCTAGAATATATTTGTCTATGTAAATTTTCTGTTTGTTTCCCACTGCCACAACTTTATACCTCTTATGCGTTATGCTCAGTGAGTGTAACAAACTTTCCTGTGTCTGAAATGAAGGTTCTGAAGGAGAATGACTTACAGGTAGTCCTTGGCTTGGGATCATTTGTCTCATGACCATTCAAAGTTATTATAACGGTGCTCAAAAATGTGATTTATGAACAGTCCCCACACAACTGTTGCAGAGTCACTGTGGTGACATGATCGAAGTTTGGATGTTGGCAACCAGCATGTATCTGGGATTGCATGATTGCTGTTTGTGACCTTCCCAGAGGGCTCCTGACAAACAAAGTCAATGGGGGAAGTTGCTTAACAACTGCATGGTCCCTTTAAAGATCATGGCAAAAAAAGCTATAAAGTTAGGCACAAGCAGGGGCTTGGACTAGATGACCTCCAAGGTCCCTTCCAACTGTGTTATTTTATGAGAACTCACTGAATGATGGAAGTGAGGGAAGTCCCGGTCCCAATTGTGGTCATATGTAAAGGACTAACCTGTGTTTTTAAAGCTGTCAGAACTCATAATTATCTTCTAAGATGTTTCTCAGGAAGATGAAAGGGAGAAAAAAAATTGACATGCTCTCTTATAGTGACCAGAGTGGATAAGTTGGGATGCTCCAGTTCCCCTCTCTTAAACATTGCCATCTTGTAGGTTCTCAGAAGCAAGCTCCATTGCAGCCCCTGTCCTTTGGAATGACCCCCCGCCCGCCCTTCTGCAATCTGACAGACCCCCCCCACTCCACCCTTTATTCTTCCCTGAATGCATTCTGAGACCCTGCTATTCCCTCAGGTGTGGAAGCTAGGACACGATGAGGGTGGGATGAAAATGTGGACAGATGCCAGTTTGTTCTATTTCTAGTTTTATTTTTACTGGTTTCACACTGTTTTATGCTGCTTTACTGGCTGCAGCAAGCCTTCTGGAGTTGTTTTTAAGATGCGCAGCTATAGCACACACACACAAACCCGCTAATGTCTTACTTCATGATATATATGTACGTGGCTTGTTTTGCAAATTTGACCTGTGGAATAGTTCCTTCCTTGTGGTTTTACTTGGCTCTCTCCGTTGTTTGGAATCGAGCCTGGCATCTGGTTTCTCCCAATTTGAAACATATTATTTATAAACTCCGAAATGGCTGCGTTTTCTAGAAAACCCAACTATACTAAAATGTCCACTTATCTTTTGTCACACAGAAACCGATGTCCATTAATGTAGACGGCTTCATCTGAATATACTCAATATACTCTAGAACCTATTTCAGTAATCTGAGTTGGATTTTCTTTTTTGAAAAACACATGATAGCTAAGTAACAGCACCATTCACTTCTTGAGTTTTTTGGCTGCTGTCAATAAATGCCTTTGGGAGCTGTTGAAGCGTGTTGTTTTGTGGCATATAGGAATGTTTGTGCTAGGAGGAAGAAAGGAGCATTCATGACAGGAAGCGTTTGGCTGGCTGACTAGGGAAGGAATTAAAAATATTTAGTCACAGGTTTTTCCAGGAGACTCATCAATGTTTGGATAACTCTTGGATTGGATAAATACTTCAAGCTGAAGTATTTGTTGATTTAATCTTCCACCTGAAAATAACCTAGCACCTTTAGAAAATGCAATAAAACAGTTGTGTCCAACTGTCATTGAGTAAGGTACATTAAAGGCCAATGGCAGCTAAAGAACTGGCAGCTGTGATTTCTCATTTTTGTGTATATATATGTGGGAAAAAAGCACAACTACTATGACGTGGGAAAATACCCGAGCAAAGCCGAATGCCATGTGGGAAGAAATATCTATCTGGTTCAGTTCTGGTTCAGCCGGGAGAAAGATACTGGAGACAAAATGGAGGCTGGCGGCGGAAAAAAAGGTCTATTTATTGATGAACAGAACCACCAAGCACATGGTTCTGGCACAGCTGCCCCAGAGGTGGTATTCAGCAGTTTCTGACCAGTTCCAGAGAACCAGTAGTGGAAATTTTGAGTAGTTCAGAGAACCGGCAAATGCCACCTCTGCCTGGAGTTTTTACAGTATCCTTCCCCTGCCACCCCCACTCCCCCACCAAGCCACGCCTACAGAACTGGTAGTAAAAAAAATTGCATCCCTCCACTGAGCTGCCCACATAGAATTGAGAGTGGAGGTTTTTATACCTTCTCTTGGCTTCGCACTTGAACTTCCTGTTTCTATGCAAGAACATGTATTCTATTGGCTGCTGTCAGACTCCCATGGGGCCATTTAGGGGTAATGTAGGAGTTATAGCTGGCTCTATAGGCAAAGTACAGATCCTAGGTGTTTGTCTGAGCTATGGTTGAGGTTTGGACTGCTGATGCAATTAAAGGAGCATTGAGCAATTCCTACTGTGTTTGAGGGCTAATCCTACCTTTGTTCAGACCTTGCAGGGAATTTCAAAATATCCTGTCTTGAATGGATTTCTGACTGCGGTATTTGCTTTGCCTATGAATAGAAGGACCTAGATACTTGGTTTCTTTCAATAAGCTCTTTATCTCTTAAATGCTCACATCTGCTGAGGATTATTAAGAAAGGTGGGGGATGCTTTCTGCCTCCAAGAGCATGTTTCTCCATTTCTCCCTTTAGGGAAATATAATATCCTGCCTTTTTAATATTTTCTAAAAATATTTCATTCTTCTAGGAGGAGTGGGGGCTTCCCTCATACATAATATTCGTGCACTCACAAACAACGAACCAGTTGGTAATGTAAGTGTAGCCCACCTCTGCTTACGTACATCTCTGCTTATGTTGACGTGCAACCACTGTTGGGAGCAGAATTTCCCATGCTAAGCAAGAGAGTTGCTATATAAATCACACCCGATTTTAGAACCATTTTGCCATGGTTGTTAAGCAAATCACTGTCATTGTTAAAGGAATCATGTCATCATTTTATTGCTTATTGTACCCTATGACTATCATTAAGTGTTGTACCTGATGATTCTTGACTCTTGACAAATGTACCTTTTCTTTTACGTATACTGACAGCATTTGCACCAAGACAAATTTCTTGTGTGTCCAATCACACTTAGCCAATAAAAAAATCTATTCTATTCTATTCTATTCTATTCTATTCTATTCTATTCTATTCTATTCTATTCTATTCTATTCTATCATTAAACAAATCCAGCTTCCCCCATTGACTTTGCTTGTTGGAAGCTAGCTGGGAAATCACAAATGGTAATTACATGACCCCAGGATGCTACAATCATTGTAAATACATGCCAGATGCCAAACATTGGGATTTTCATCACATGACCGTGGGAATGTTGGACACATCTGGAGGCCTGGTCATAAATTACTTTTTTCTGTGCTGCCAAAATTTTGCTAAACAAATGATTGTCAGTTGAGGACTAGCTATCCTAGCTAGTCATACCATGTCATTTGTTTATATAGATATATATATATGTTTTCTTAAGTTTTTGAGAGTATTTATATGTATGGTATTCAGCTTTGTTCGGGTATTTTCCTATGTCATTATAGTTATGCTTTTAAAGTTGTAGCAACGTTTCGGCAGAATCTCATCTGCCATCATCAGGCTTCTGTATAGTGTTTGTCTGTGAGTCAGACTTTCACAGCCGTTTCTGTTTTAAATTTGGTGCTAGCCTATGCTGTGCCAGAATGTTTTTTTCTTCATCCTAATTGGTTGGGAGTCTTGGTCTGTGTTTATTGGTCTTGGAGTTTGCTGTGTTCTGCTTGATTGGTGTTTTTAATATCTTCTGTCTGTTTTGTAGCTTTTTTGTCTTGATTGGCTGGCAACATTGTGTTTCCTGTATTGGAGGCTTTTAGTGCGGCTTGACTCCGAGTAAATGGACGGCTATCATTTATTAGGAAGCTAGGTTTCATCTGGATGCCTGGTTGGGGTGTGTTTGAGCTGGAGGTATCAGGGGGGATCTGTTTGTGCCCAGGTGTTTGCCTGGCTTGTGGTGTGAAGATTTTTTTGTTTGTGAATGCAGGCTTCCAAATAATTGACAGTCTGGTGGAGTCATCTCTTCTATTCATGCTTTCAGGTCTTTTTTTTAATCTCTATGGCTTCTCTGATAATTCTGTAGCTGGGGTTTTCTATAGTGGCTAGGGTTTTGCTGCCATTGAAGTCGATGCTATGACCTGTGGCTTTCATGTGTTGGACTAGTGAGGAAGTGCGTTCCAGCTTTTTTACTGCATTTTTGCTTTTGTGGGAGCTGTTGGCTGCCAGTAGTTTAGTCAGGGTGCATAGTTCAGTCTTTATGTGTGTCTTGTCTGCCAGGCGTTTGGTTCTGGCAATTAGTGTTTTGGCCACGGAGTTTATCTGTGCTGGATGGTGGTGGGATTGGGTGTTGAGGTAGTGGTTGGTGTGTGTTTTCTTCTGGTATACGGTGTGTCCTAGTGTGCCATCTATTTTTTTGTAGATTAGTACATCTAGGAATGGTAGTTGTTTGTTTGTTTCCGTTTCCATGGTGAACTTGATTTTGGGATGTGTGCTGTTTAGCTGTGTTAGGAAATTGTTTAGGTTTTCTTTTCCATGGGGCCAAATCACAAATGTGTCATCGATGTATCTTAACCATAGCTTGGGTTTGTGGGTGGCATTAGCTAGGGCTCTGGATTCGAATTCTTCCTTCAAAACAGACAGAAAAATAGCAGCCCGATGATGGCAGATGAGATTCTGCCGAAACGTTGCTACAACTTTAAAAGCACAACTACAATGATATATATATATATATGGTATTCAGCTTTGTTCGGGTATTTTCCCATGTCATTGTAGTTGTGCTTTTAAAGTTGTAGCAACATTTCGGCAGAATCTCATCTGCCATCATCAGGCTTCTGTGTGTATGTATGTATGTATGTATGTATGTATATGTACATACATGTACATGTATATGTATATGTATATATGAGCACCTACATCTAAGTGAATTCTCAAAGTTGTTCTTTATTTCAGTTGAACCTTTAATATGAAACAACACAGCGCCAGAATTGAATCTGCCCATCCAGTCTCTCAGAAAGAGTTTATTGTGTGTGGGGAGCTCTTGTTGGACCTGATGACAGGCCTTTCTGGTGGTGGTGGGTGGCCCCCTTTCTAGGATCAATTTCCCTGCAGACAGATTGTTCTCCTGGCGTTTCATAAATAAGCCAAAGCATTGTGGTTTCAGCTTCAATTTGACCTTTAGGTTTGTTTAAGCTATGAGGTGCCTGTGAGACTTACAACAATTTATTTAGGTTTTTTTAATAGGTAGGTTGTAGGTTTGTGTGTGTGCGTGTGTGTGTGTGTGTCATCTAGCACTCTTCCTGATTAGGGTGGGCTACAGATATTATAAATAAATAAGCAAGCACTCCAATGGCGTGATTTTCCGAAAGAGAGGCGAAAAAAAAAATCCCTCAAAACTGCAGTGAAACTCCTTCTGTGGCTGAGAATGCAGGTGGCAGGTGAATCAATAATATTGACGTGATTCAAGGAAGTGAGAAAAAGCCACTTGAGGAATAAATGATCTGTGCCTTTACTTCAGTTGCATTGTGAGTCTAGGAAGCAGAGGCGAAATATCTTGTTGCTCTGATCCGTAATCCCTTGGCGAGGCAGCTGAGCAAAAGTCCTTGGCTAGAGATTCATGAATGAATATTTTGCCCTTCTAATCTGGAAAGGTTGGAAACTTACAGCGTTAGTCAACTCTTAACATCCTCTTTGGGATTGATTTTAATAATTGAAAACCAAGCCATATACCGTAATAAGTAAATAGGTCACCATTTTATTCACACAAAATGTCTGTCAATTGGCGTGTTCTGTATTCAGAGAGTGGAAGATCATTCTTGCCTTGGTTCCTTTTCTTTTCTTCTTTTTAGGAAGTCCACCTTCCAATGAAGTGGCAGCCGGTAATTATCCATTTATGCAGTTATCTGATGATGGACGCGAAGTGCCTGTTGTTCAGGCATATGCCTTTGGAAAATATCTTGGCTATTTGAATGTCACATTTGATGATAAAGGAAAAGTAATTAAAGCATCTGGAAATCCCATTTTATTGAATAAGAATATTCAAGAAGGTATGGAATTGGGAAGGGGATGTGAAATGTCCTTAAGCATCAACTGAGTAAATATGATATTTCAAAATCTAATACTATTATATTATATACTGTATAGATGATTATGTCATTAGACACATGTTTGATTTTCTCCAGAAGAAGCCTTCTAAAAACCATCTGCATAATATCAAGAAGATAATTATGAGTCTTTTAAAAAACATAAACTATAGTACAAGGCAGCATATATGTGTTATGTCCCAAAGGTGCTTTTTAAAGAGGCAGCTGGACTTTCTGGTTTTAATTTGAAGACGTTTCACTTCTCATCCAAGAAGCTTCCTCAGGTCTGAAGAAGCGTCTTGGATGAGAAGCGAAACATCTTCAAAGAAAACCAGAAAGTCCAGTTTGCCTCTCTAAAAAGCACCTTTGGGGCAACCCTGACCTGGATGACTAGAATCTCCATAAATATATATGTAGCATGTTTTCAAGGGATTTGTGAAAGAACAACAAAGCTTTTCCATTTTGTTTAACCTTGATAGCAACAAGGTTATGTATCTTCTGTACATTATCTGTATCTTCTTTATTGCTAAACTGAAGAAAATGGGGAGATAATCAGAAGCAGATTTTATAGGGAAAGCCTGAAATTTGGGGGCTCCGTGTTCTTCAATGCTACAAGCACTTGAAATCTACCATTTCTGAAATAACTACAGTTATCAGTCTTCTTCCATTACTGCATTGCTCAGGAATGAAATGATGTGACATGGTTCCCAACCTACTTTCATTAATACCTATAAAGATAAACATGGTTATTTGAAATGTATTATTACTCCCTTTCATAGAAATATATTATTTTTGTAGATCTGGATTAGTTTCAAAGCATTACTGTAGATAATACCCACAGGCTTGGGTACACCCACAGGCTTATATTTTTATCTTTGTTGTGCCATTTTTTGGGGGGGAAACACATTTGGATTAAGTACTGACAAGTCTTATGTGCACACACATATGCATTCCAAAGCATATTTTACTTTGAACCTGAAACAGCAATGTTTTCCCCTCTTCCTTGAGTTTTTTCTATCACAACTACTTTGTCTTGAAAATAGTCTTATGCCTGATACAAAGAGAAAGAAGATTGCTTTTGAAGAACTAAATCCAAGTTGTCCACAGCCTTGCCATCTAATTGTGAAATCCTTTCAAAACTAAATTTGAGATTACTTCCGAGTTTTCGTTTCTACTGTATTTCTTTGAGGTGGTTGAATACCAATTCTATTGTAATGCTATGTAGTGAAAAAATAAAGGTTTCCCCCCTATTTATATGTAATACTTCAGTTTAGAAAGCAAGAAAATGCTTTGGAGAATGAGGGAGATGCTCATATAGTTCCTGTCTGCAATGCCTTAATCCAGCTGGGTTTTTACATAGCAGTCAATCACCTAGCACAAATTTTGTAGCAGTTGCAGATGGCCAGTTGCACAGTCTCGGTGAAGCATTGCCGAACCCCGGTCTCAACTCAGTTACTGTTATAATCACGATTTTTGTTTTAGATCCAGCTGTGAAAGCAGAAGTTACAAGAATGAAGGATCAGCTACAGAATTATTCCTCGCAAGTAATAGGGAGAACAATTGTTTACCTAAATGGTACGACTCATGCTTGCCGTTTTCATGAGTGCAACTTGGGAAATTTAATTTGTGACGCTGTGGTAAGGAAGTAACAAATTAGAATACAAATAACTGGTTCTGTACTTGATGATCTAAACTATAGTTAAAGGAACATTGTTGCTTTGTGAGGCACACACCCTTAATGTTGAAATCAGGGAAGTTCCATAGTCTCAGAAAGACTATTGAAGTGTAGAATTAATCCTGAAGTTCTATTTATGCACAGTTTAGTAAAATGTGTCCAAATAACCTTAGTAAACCTTAGTAAAGATTGGTTCTAAATCAGAAAGGAGTCGCTGTTATTTTGCTCAACAGTTGCCGATATTTGCAGGGTGATGATAGATCGGGGTGCATAGGCCTTGGCTTAGGAACCCCAAATAGCCTGGCAAAACTTCTACCATGTCTGATTTTAGTTTCCTATCTTGCTTCCAAGCCCTGCCTCTTTGTCCTTGTCTTGCTTTATTTGTATCATGGATGCCGCAGAATCTGATCTTCTCTTGTTTGGCTTGTCCTTCCTCCTCTTCCTTGCCAGCATCATTTCCAAAAGTCCCAACCAGTTGTCTGCCTTCTATGCTTCATTCCTATTGCTGCTGGTCTTGGTACCAGCCCTAATTTCAGGTCCTCCTCCACCTGCTCTGTTGTCACAATCTCCATCCCGCCACTGTCTTACTAACTCCCACTAGCCTGTCATGCTCTGGTGCTTTTTGTCACAGTTGCATCACCCTTACTGCACAGTTCTTGACAGGAGTAACTATTGGTATTAACAAATGTATGCACCTGGAAATCGTATTGTGCTTAAAAGAAGGGTGCCCAGCTCGCAGACAAAATGGAGTCAGCTGGGAGGCCCAATATAACCCAACAGTTTCTCCCTCAGAGCCACAGTTTCTCTAGTCGTTACCCCACTTCTCACTTTGCCTCAAAATGGGAAATAATCTTTATCTCTGATGAGGAGCAGCTCAGGATTAAGGTTTCTTTTCTCAAAAAACAACAAATACCCTTCAGTAAGGCTTCCAGAAGTATTGTTAAAGGCAATCTAAAAGGAAGCTGCTATTGAAGAGAATGAGCTAAGCTAAGCTATTCAATTTTATGTCTTTCTCCAAAAAAAAGTATTTCCATACAGATAGCAAAAGAACTCCCATTGGCATTAGTGGAGGCTCTTTGAAAGCTGCATTGCCAGATAGAAGGGGCCCTTTTGAGGGAGGGGTGCTGCAAGGAAGGAAGGTTTGTAACAAAACTACTTTACTATAGGCTTGTTTGGTTTTAGTGGAAAACAGCTATGCTGTTAGAGATCATCTCAGGAGTTCTAGTTTTGATACACCGATGACCTTAAAAGCTAAGTGAAAAGGATAGTGGAGGATGGATTCACCTTTTTTGTTCTTTATGAATGTTTTTAGGTTTACAATAACTTAAGACACCCAGATGATAGTGAGTGGAATCATGTTTCCATGTGCATTGTAAATGGTGGTGGAATACGGTCACCTATTGATGAACAAGCCAATAATGGTATGTGCAATTTCAAGAGCTTTTACACAGTGCCACTTCAATTTCCCTTCGTTTTATATCAATATTTAAGTTTGTACTTGTATCCACTCTATTCAACTACTGTCACAGTTTTCCAAAATCCCTCTTTTGCATATTCCTTCATGGGAAAAAAGCCCATTCTTCCGTTAATATTTAAAAACTATATCAGGTTGGCCTTTAGAAAGCATCTTATTTATGTTTTTATTACTTTGCTGTAAATATCTTATCCAACCCCCCTGTGGCACTGCTAGATTTTCTCTTGGAAAATCATCTAATCATTTTATACACATTGAAAAACAGTGCTTACAAATTTTCTGATAATGATCTCTGGTCTATGACTGCAATAAATTCTGATTGATTGTGATTTTCTGATACTTTAAACTGCATATTATTATGTTTTTATTGTGTTTAACTAATTCTTTAAACGTAATTTAATTTTTATACTGCAGTGCACTGGAGACCATGAGATGGCACGGGTAGAAACCACAAAAATAAAATTAACATTCCTACTCTTCATATGAATGATTGATGGCCTGCCACTTTTAGCCCAAGATGCAAACTAGATGCAATTCTAAGATGCAAAGTGGAGTGGAAGATAGTTTAGCCCTTTGAGGTCACCTACACAAAAAGCACAATTGCAATATCTTTATTGTAATGTAGCATTAACAGAATCTTTCAAATAGGAAAACATTTCTTCCCTCCTTTCCTTTTACTTCCCAGTAAACTAGGGAAGATCCCTTCTGAGCTGCTCCTCACATCCCTTTTTCTTCTGAGGGCTGAGATACCTTTTGCATGATGGTTTTTCTAATCCTTGGATCTTGCTCCTGTCTCCCAAGGTGATTCCTACAATGCCATTAGAGATAAGGACTAGCCTTAAGGTCTGACAGGGAGTCTCATTGTGGAATAAGGTTTGAACTCTGCTCTCTTCCATTTAAGCAATTCCACAAAGCTTAAAAAGGAACAAAATTGTGCATACTATGACTTACTACTATGACTGTTGTGTTCTAATCAGGCATTATTACCTTGGAGGAACTGACAGCAGTTTTGCCATTTGGAGGAACTTTCGACTTGCTGCAGATCAAAGGTTCTACTCTAAGACAAGCATTTGAGCACAGTGTTCACCGACATGGGCAAGGAAGTGGGGAATTGCTACAGGTCTCAGGTTAGCTATCTTCATCCGTCGCCAGCACAAAGTGCTAAAATCTTTTTCGAGCATTAACAGTTCATCTTTTCCTGCTCAACCCCTCCCTTCCTGGGGGTGGCAGGAAAGAATGATTTACAGTAATCTCCAGCATGGGCATCATCCCAGAGGTGTAGTGTCACTAAGGAGTCAGGTAACCGGAATAAGAATCTGTCTCAGACTTCCAGCTTGAGTAGCATTGGATGTAAACAAACACAACATACTGGAGGCCCCAGTACTCACCTTTCCCTATGTTGTTGCCAAACTGTGAGGGAGAGTCGGGGGGAGGCAGCCAAGCTTCAAATAAATAATGCTAAACATCTCAATCTTTGGATGAAGTTTTCATGGGGATGTGCATCAGAATAATCTGAAGGCCAGATTCCAGGCCAGATCAAGTATAATTCAGCACAGACCTTCATCTAGCCTTGGTAGTGGAGATGAGAATCCCTCCGACCATACAGCAGTGGTCTTGTGTAAACCCCTGCCCTCATTTCTTTCCCTGGAGCTACACTGTGTTGCTGCAGCCACATCATAAATAAAATGTTTCAGGATTTACATGCTGGGATGTAAAGATGATTGTGAATGGCAGGTCAGTTCTTAGCATTCGACTGTTTTTGAATTGGAGGTGAGCAGATGAGAAACACTTAGTCAGAGAATAGATGGGGGCAGGGCCAGTCAGAGGCGGTATTCAGCAGGTTCTCCGAACCACTCAAAATTTCCGCTACCGGTTCTCCAGAACTTGTCAGAACCTGCTGAATACCACCTCTGGATTCATGGGAAAACAATAATTGTAATCTGAACTGATTTATGGTAAATTCTTATAAAGTGGAATTAGTAACTCCTAGTTTTTAAAAAACTCAAAAATAACAATTACGTTGAGAAATTATGTTGTCTATTACTTTCCTATTTGGTAAGGTACTTTTCTGTTTTGTAATGCTGCAGGAATATATTTATTTTATTTCCCTGCCCCAATAAAGTAAAGCTAGAAATGCACTTGCATATTACATTGTAAGCACTCCTAGTATGGTTTAAAAGGTGCGGTGGGGGTGGGGGGGGATGAGGGAGGCTGGACATGAAGTTGTTTTCAGAAGAATCAATTTTCCTATAGAGGTTCTTGCTGGAGGAAGATAGAATTGTCAGAGGGGAATTTCCTGTAACCAGCACATCTCCTGTGCTGATGGTCTATGCCAATGTGGAACGGATGCCAAGTGCCACCGTAGAATGAATTAAGAATAACTTCTCCCTTTCTGCTAGTTGAAGTGTTTTGCAACCAGACTTGAATCCATGGTACTGTGAATCTGGTTTTACCATTTGTCCACCAAACCCTTAACCTTAACCCCAACCCACCAAAAGTCATGAATAGCACAACTTTTTAAAAATATTTTTAGAGATACAAACCAGAGATTTGCAATAGATGGTACCTAAATACTTGTGACTTTTGTTTCTTAATAGGCATAAAAGTGGTGTATGATCTCTCCCAAAAGCCAGGGGAAAGGGTGGTCAGCTTAAATGTTCTTTGCACAGAGTGCAGAGTACCAGCTTACGTGCCGCTTGAGATGGAAAAGACCTACAAAGTGCTTTTACCTTCTTTCCTTGCTGCTGGCGGTGATGGATACTACATGCTAAAGGGGGACTCAAGTAACCACAGCAGTGGTAAGTATTAGCCTTTCTGGTGATTAGCAGATGGCAATGTAATTAGAACGACTAATTATGGAAGTACTGGAATTCATATCCCTGAAATGAATCTTTACAACGTAACTAAGGACAGTATTGCTAACATCCCACAATTTCTATGTTCCCTTTTTCAAACTGCAACAAAATCTAATATGATTTGGGCCATTATGCAAATGAGGGAGAATAGAACTGCAAGCAACTTCACCATTTTCCTGTAAAGCAAGATTTGAGATAAAAATACAAAACTTGATCAAAGGGTCATCTTCGATGAAGAGCCATGGTAGCACAGTAGTTAGAATACAGTATTGCAGGCTAACTCTGCCAACTGCCAATAAATAGTTCGATCCTGGAGGGCTCAAGGTTGATTCAGCCTTCTATCCTTCCAAGGTCAGAAAAATGGCGACCCAAATGGTTGGGAGAAATAGGGGAAAATATGCCCTGTAAACTGCTTAGAGAGGGCTGTAAAGCACTGTGAAAATAGATCAGTCTAAAGTGCCCTTGCTATCATTTTCGTGTCTTTTACTTCCAAATAGAATAATCAGGCAGCATTTGTGTTCAAGGTATTAACACAGGTTTATTTATAAACTAGCTAGGAAAATCTACTTGTGTATCAAAAATGCAGTTGAGAGAGTAGATCTCAAGTTTCTCTCTAAAGAAACATTTTCACTGCTCCTTTCTATCTGGTGGCATGGTTGATGCTGCCTCCTTATTGTACAACACCAGCAAAAAACCTCTTAAGGCTGCAGACGCTGCGTGTGCAGTTTATAAAATCTAGGAATAGAAAGACAGAGAAATCTTAATATGCATGAGATCAACAGCAAGGACAGCGGCAGCTATTCAAGAAAATGCACACTAGCATTCGAATGGCCATTCTGCTGTCCTGAAAACACAACACTAGTAGAATTGCCTTGCATGAGATGGGCTGCTATATAGATTTGATAAACAAACTTTGAGTGTTTTCCATTTCAAATAGCAGTAAATGGATCCTGTGCATGTTTCTTTTTTTAAAAAAAAAAGAATACTAAAGTTAAAAGCCAGGTTTTCACAGTGACTTAAAGTATTTGACTGACATTGGGGAGTGCCGGTTCAAATGCTTACTCAGGAGTTAACTTCACAGCAGAGCACTGAGTCAGTCAGTCACTATTCTCAATCTAATCTACTAAAAACTGGGCTCCTGGGTGATATAAAATGAAGGTTGCATGGGAACAGAGCCACGAGATACAATTGGCTGCAGATTCCCTGGGCAAAGTACAGATGTGATTACTTTACAAAAATGAAATTACTCTCTTTACACCATGTGACTTCCATTTGTTATAAAAATAATGTAGTAAGGATTCTAGACTTTGAAGACTCTCCTAGGAGTATACTACCATAATAGAAGGCAAAGAGAGGTAAGATTATTGTATTGTACTAAGACAAGGAATTTCACAGTGGCTGTGTCCAGAACACGTTTCATTTTTTGAAATCTATTTCACACAGATCACTTATAGGCAGTCCATCATTGGCTAATGTGGAATAATTATTTTAAACAACTTGTTTTAAACAGGTAATCTTGATATTTCCATTGTCAGTGACTACATCAAAAGAATGGGAAAGGTTTTTCCAGCAATGGAAGGTCGCATGATGTTTTCGGCTGGGACTTTGTTCCAAGTACATCTTTTCTTGACCTGGGGATTATGCATTTCACTTTTATATTTCATTCTTTAATTTCAAAGATATTTCAGACTCTTTGGTCAACATTTAGTTCATGCACTCTCGGAAGCCAGCATGTAAATTCTTAATTAACCTTGGAGTGATTGGAATCCTTTGAAATTTATTACATACTATGTGTATATGATTTATGTATCTAATGTGTGTATATAATGTGTGCACAAAGCATGGTTGGAGAATTCCAACAAAGTTACTCATGAAAATTGGCCAGTGACAGTAAATGGTGTTATGCAACAACTTCTGTAAAATCTGTTTAATAAAAAGAACATTCTTTCATTTTTGGTTCTGTACATGATCTTCAGTTAATGCAAAAGTCATCATGAATGAAGTCCGAATAATCTTTCAAAGTCAAGTTCTGCATTTTTCCTCAGCGAAAATTATTCAGAAGAACAAATAATGGGATTTTCCTGAGATTCAATAAACAATAGGCTTTAATCAATCTTTTTTGAGTAAAAGTTTTTGTTTTCTGAAATAAAGGTTAATTATATGTACAAACAAATATACAAGACTAAACAAATAACCTAGTCATTAAATTAGCACACAGCAGTCATCTATGAAACGGAGTTAATTCAGTATCTTGATGTGTATGGGATCTTGATAAGATAAAGGAGCCATTCTTTTCAACCTGTGAAAAATAATGGAAGAGGGAGGAGAAAGAAAATATATCAGCCAATGAAAAGACCACCGCTATTTAGTACAATAAACATAAGTAACACTAATACAGTGGTACCTTGGTACTCAATTGCTTTGAAACTCAACGAATTTAGTACTCAAATGTGTTTTGACATGAAAAATTTTGTCCTGGTACTAATCATTTATTTGGTACTCAATGTACATGCTAGACCTTGTGGGTGTTACTGCCTTGTGGCTTGCTACATTATTACTTATGGGAAAAATCTGTTTAGTACTCATTATTTTTGGTACTCATCATGCCTTTTGGTACCAATTAACAATAAGTACCAAAGTATCACTGTAAAGTTGTAACATTACATGTCATCTACTTAAGTTCTTTTTTTAACATTTATCATTTTTATTTTTATTATATAAAATACAAAAAAAAAAGATAAATAGGAAATTAAGGGAGGGAAATGGAACAGGGAAAAGTGGGGGTGAAATACAAGGGGGAAGAGAAAAAGAAAGAAAAGGGGGCATTGACTTCCAACTCTTCCTAGCACAATAGTTTCATTTTTTTCTCCACAAGCACAAATTCCAGAAGTGATACCCAAATAAGAACATATTTTCCTATTTAAATAAAGTAATCAATTTAACCATTCCTGGTTCATCTTCCTTGCTACAGAAATAGTGTGTATTTCTATTTGCACCTAGTAATCTTTGTGAATTGTCACTATTTTTATTTACAAAATTTATTGTATTCTTTCAAGTTTTTTAGCCTAAAAATGGGGATGAGTACTGAGTACTGAAGGACCACTGTAAAGTCATAACATTAGACATTACCTATTTAAGTTCTTTATAGCTTCCAGTGGCTACAGCTTCCATTCTAAGAAATCCTTTCAGAATAGCCTATAAAAATGGCTGATCTTCCTTTATGCAATGATGAATTAAGGACCACCACCTATTAAGATAAAAGCTCTTCCTTGCAATGACTGGGATCCTGTACAAACTTGCCTGCAGTTTTCATTCATTCCAGTGTGGATACTTCATGTACTCCACTGGTTGCAATTACTAAGTGGGAAACTCAAAAAGATTGTGGCCCTGATCATATTTTCTGCAATAGTGAACACCTATTCCTTTTATTAAAACATTCCTGTTTGTTTATATAAATTAGTTATATGTCTAAAATGAACACAGAATGTGTTCTTATATCTAAATAAAATACAGGGGAAAAATAGAGAAATAAATACAGTTCTTTTTTTTTTAACTTAAAATATGTATATTGAAGTGTTATCCCAATGAAGCTTCTAACCTAAGTAACAAAAAGTGTAGTGCAGAAATAAATTGATGGTGAACAAAACAGAATTCAAATACCAGTAACAAAGAAAATTATTCTTTTTGCATTGTCCCAAAAGGAAACAATTGTCATTAAGTGCTGCAACAGTGGCTACTAAAGAAACACATTAAAGCAAATTATATTTTTCTTTAATAATTATTAAATTTTATTATAATAAAACTTCGAAGATGCCTCCAGAATGAACATTTGATTTAATAACTGCTGAATAAATGCATTCATACTACAATGAAGGTGAGGAGAATAAGACTGAAAAGTCAACTCTAATTAACCCAATTCAGGCTGGAGAGATTTCTTGATACCAAGACTCGTTAAACAATGAAACAATCTTCCCAGTACAAGTGGTGGATTCTCCCTTACTGGAAGTTTTTCAAAGTGGGGCGGAATGCCACCCATCAGTGTTGGTTTAATGGACTCCTGTAGTGAGGTTGAACTAGACCAGGGGTCTCCAACCTTGGCAACTTTAAGACTTATAGACTTCAACTCCCGGAGTTTTGCTGGCTGAGGAATTCTGGGAGTTGAAGTCCACAAGTCTTAAAGTTGCCAAGGTTGGAGACCCCTGAACTAGACAACCAATAAAATCCGTCCAACTCATCGTTTTTTTTACAATGCTTTAATTCACTTAGTTCTTTTCTGAGGAAAAAAAACACGTAATAATTAAAGGAAGCAACTCAAAATATCCTTCAAAAGATACTTTCAAAATACTTCATTAGTATTTTACATCATCAATCAGATAAATTAGAACTATTTATGTTACAACGTACCATTCAACTCTGGAAATAGTTCTTGAATCCCAATATCCAGTAGGACATATGTTAACTAAAAATAAAATACAAAGAAAAGTTGCAATTTTGAACTTTTTAAACATTACCTTAACATGGAAAGGTCTGCAGAAATTTAGCAGATCAAAGAATTATCATTCATTTGATAATCAGAATATTCAAAAATTAGCTAAAATGTATTCTCAATTTCAGTAACTTGCATTATTTTTTTAAAATGCAGTAAGCTATCAGTAGCTACAATAAATTACAAAATATATTTAAGAATTTTCAAAATAACCTACATCTACTTAACCTAAGTCTACTTTAAGAATTTTCAAAATAACCTAAATCTATTTCCAAAGGGAAATCTGTCAGAGGCCTAAGGACAATAGCATAAAGTTGAGAACTAGTAACCATTGGTGCCTATCATCCATATTTTGTGTCCATCCTGCTTTATGTCCCCACTTGCTTTCTCCTTTTAAAATCTCTCTTTTAATCTTTCTTATTTTCTGCCTTGAATCTCTAAGAGTTACCAGTTCTGTCCTGTGTCAGTCAGTCAGTCTTTCTCTCTAATCCAAGGGTCTT